AATTTAAGATGTTAAAATTGTTAGATTAGTTTTGACCAGAAGTGGGCCACTTCAACATTGTTATCCCAGTCATTTACTAAATCTTCTTTAGTACATGTGGCGGGGCATGAACTGAATTCACATAAAAGTTGCAGTGTTTAAATTTCTCCACATCACAGAAAATTTTCTTATATCAAAGTACCATATTTTTCCGTGTATAAGACTATACTTTTGTCTAAAATCTTTAGACAAAAGTTTTTCCGTGTATAAGACTACAAAAATAAGTGGTGGGGAAAGCAGGGATCAAAGTGATCCTTCAGGGCTTTGATCCCTGCTTTCCCCTCCACTTGCTAAGCCCCACCTAGATTTCTCAATTTTGGGTTTAAAAAGCTGGGGGGCATCTTAAACATGAGGGCGTATTATACATGGAAAAATATGGTAGTCCCATTTTACTTGGAATTAGAAGGAGCCTCCCTGATGGGTGGAAAGCAATGCGAGTGCAGCAATGTGCAGCCAGCTAATCCTTCCTGTCTAGAAGCACTGCGCTGTAAACTTGCTGAAGAGCAAAATGACCCAACAGTCCCCTTTTTAGGACCACAAATTACAAAAATTTCTATTAATATAGAGAGCACCTCTTTATCGAAAGAAAAACTCTTAGCTTCACTTAGCGGTGAATGGAAATGTGACATCCTCTGTGTCGAAGAGACTCATAGAGGAACTGGTCAGTGTTGACCAAACGTTCCTCGGACGCGCCTAGTTGCCAAGAGGCCAGACAAACAATACAGAAATGCCTTATTTTCAAAAACCAGCAAGCACAGTCAATGGACTATACTGAAGAGAGCAACATAGATATCTTGACGGTTGAACTGGCTGCATGTATAGTAACACCTATCTACAAACTACCTAATATACAGTACCATTTTTACTTTAGAACTTATCTACAGGCACCCCTTGCTTAACAACCTACCTGTTTGATGACTGCTTGGACTTATACCCTTCTCAACTCCTCATAAATGAGTGCTTACATCTTCGCCACCCCCCTTCTCAAATGGCACATGACTTATTGCTTCTGTACAAGGTTCCCGCTAAGCTGGGCACACCCATGCACAACTCAACTTCCCTCTGCGCAGCACTCTTCCTTCTTCGCACAGCGAACACATTAGGTTCTGGTCGCAACGGAACCCAGCACGCAGGGGGGAGATTCACATGCGCATGCAGAGGCGAAGCCACGAGAGAGAGGCGGAGCCCTGCCCAGTGGAGCTGAAAATTAGAGGGCATGTTGCTTCTGTACACAGTGTTATTGCTCCTCGTTTATCAGCCAATTTGCTTCACAATCTAGTCCAGGAACAGAACTTGGTTGTTAAGTGAGGAGTGCCTGTACTATGGAAAATCAAAATACTTTCTATTTGGAGATTTCAACAGCCATAGCAATATTTGGAGCTATGATTCTCTATATGGAGAAACAGACTGTCTTGTCTGATTCCTGTAGTTCTATGACCTAGAAAAATTGAAGCTGAAGCACTAAATAAGCAGGGTCATCAAAATGCTTTCACACGGAAGGATACAAACATGAATTTATTTCAGTAATGAACAAAAAAAACTTTCAGAGACTTGATAGAACAGCACTATGCAACTGGGTGCTGAGCTGTATCTTCATAAATAACAGTATTTCTTGCATGCACTGTTTTTGAGAAGACTCGACACCCTACATTTCAACACACAGTAAGACATAATCAGCTATGCTGTGCAGCCTTCAAATCCACCAAGTCACTATTCTTTTTCAATTATTCACTATACAATTGTATTCAGTCACATAAATCTATATACCGTAAGGTAATAAATTCTCTATTTCTCTCTGAGGACTACTCATTTAAATTAATACACCCAGAGAGTTAAGAGCACAGGGATACACTGAGGTATGGAGTTAATTTATATGTAATACACAAATTCATTTGTTGCAGTGCCACAGGAATAGATCCAATACTTAAATGAGCTCTAGTGAGACCAATATTATATGCTCCAAAGAGACTTGCAGAGAGCAGCCCTATACAAGGAACAAACAGTAGCAGAAATGGCACACACAGCTCAGAACTGCAATACTTCAAAAATGACACTTCTTGCCTCAAGATTCCTGCCATTTTGTCCCAAATACAAACACAGTGATGATTCCATGTAGAAGCATAAAATAGTCTTGCAATGACTGGTTTGCTAGAACAAGCTTCTTACCAGCGCTTAGGAGGAGGCGTTGTTTGAGTTCACAGCCAATGGTGGAAGAATTCATAACACAACAGCAAGATAGGATACACTAGTGACATGGAGGATCTTCTAAATTTCTTGATAAGGATAATCATGATGGGAATGATACTGCATTACAGCTAGAATTTCTGGGATACTGCCAACTTCCATGTGTGTACAGAGGAGACATATTAATTCTAACCTGGAAATTGGTAGTGCCAACTAGACTTACTCATTAACCACTAACTATTGAAAGTTTAACAATTACTTCCTGTGAAGCTCTTGCCTAGTTGGAAGTCTTTGCCTCCAGTTCTTTCCAGATTTACAGTAACTGAAGGGCTATCAGACTTTTTTTTATCAGTAAACCAATTGCTGGCAATCTGTGAGGTATTGTCCATTAAGCCACCAAGCAAACCATGACTGAACTTTCTGCATCTAAGAACTGTAAACAGACTGACACATATTGAATCTTGGTGTTTCATGTAACAAATTAAGAGCTGTATTAACTGATTATAAAATCATAGATCTGCACTGAGATCGAAATAGGAGTTGGTCCTCCTCATAGATCACAGAAATCAACACAATGATATTCCCCAATCACAACCCTCTTAAAATGTTTCAAACTGTGAACATTTAAGCCAGTTTTTAAAAGGCAGGAAGCTAAACAGATAGTTACAGAATCAGTATTTATGTCAAACTTGCTGTAGCATCTTTCATGTGGCTGTAATAGATATCCTTCTGTACTAACAGTGATCAAAATTTAATTTTAAGTCTAGAAGAGAGACTCAATTTAAAGATTCCTTGGCATATGCTATAAAGTTGCATGCTGAGGATGTCTCGGAGATAATAAAACAACCTTTCTTACTTTTATTGTTATTGTTATTTTATTGGATCCATAAATAAAAGCTAGATTGATAGGCAAAACAAATAATCAGGCTGATTTTTTTAAAAAAAAACAACTATCTCAAACACTCATCTGGAAGCTAAGTCAGTGTATGCAGATAATTTGCACCACTGGTAGCATACACATACTCACAACCTGGCGCATACATCTGCCACAACGTAACCTCTAATTTTCGGCTCCATTGGGTAGGGCTCTGCCTCTCTCTTGCACAATTTTGCACCTCTCTCTCTCTCTCTCTCTCTCTCTCTCTGTGTGTGTGTGTGTGTGTGTGTGACTCCACCCTACCCGCCCGTATACAGGGTTCTGACACAACTGAAACCAAAGTGGTTGAATGCAATAACTCAGCGGAAAAGGAAGAAAATTGTGCAGAGGGAGGTGAAGTTGCATGCACGCACACACAGCTTAGAGGAACCTTGACCTGGCACCTCTTTCATCAACCATTAGCCTTTACAAAAGACAGGTGCAAAGAGCCCACAGGATTATCCTCCAACGCAGGAGACCTCAATCAAGTTGCACACAAAAAGCAACTCTTATGCTTTGCTCGCAAGACCAAATAAAATCCTGAAGATCATAGATTTCTTTAAAATTTACATTTCTAGTTTCTAGCTCTGATGCTGAGAAGACAGGATACGCAAATATTTTAACACTTTTATGCAACAGATGGTCCTACCTTTAGAACACTGAGATATCATTTAAAGACCACCAGGCAATACTATTAGGTTTAAAGAAAATTATTATAACTAAAGGAAAAACTTTCCAACTTTGTACAGTGATGATTGTTTCCTACTGCACTGAACACTTCTTTTTAAATGTTCATTATCCGCTGAAGGCATAACTTTACTTGTAACCTTACGGAATGATTTGTAATGAGTATCAAACGATGGTCTCTGCTTTTTGTGAATTATTCAGATAGCCTGTTTGCCACACTAGAATGAATGAGGAATTAAATCCTTAAAGAAAGAGGGGAAGTAAAACAGACACATATCATGAAGACCATCCTCGTCTAAGTTATGAATTGTGTAAAGTTGACTGTACTCAATTCTAACTTATTCCGTTTTGTCAGGGGTTTGAAAGTATAGCTTTGTGATGACACAGTTACAGTCGCATCTATAGATATGTGCACACACTCTGCTTTGTGAGAAAGTGATGCAATGCGGAGTGGGATATGCACTTAGTCACACTTGGAATAGCAGAGTCCACTGAAATAACTAGAACAAGTTAATTAATCTATTCTACTCAACTCTAGTCTAGTCTAACCATGACTAAATCTAGATGCAACTACATTCCAAGCTGATTGCAAAATGACAAGATGGAAAGACAAGGAAAGCATGTTGTAGGTGGACCTGGGTTCAAATCCCAAATGATTCATGAGGTCCCTCTATGTCTTTGAACAAACAAGGCCCCATCTCTGATTCTGATAAAAGAGACTAAGTTGCCTTTTGTCAATTGATAGAAGCATTTAGGAAACCATCTTTCTGAAATACTCTATATACTAAAATACTAACAGAAACTACTCTCACTGCTACTAATAGTAACAATCAGCAGCAATTTTGCATCATAAACAACATAAAAGAAGGGCTCAAAGAGAGGTTGACTAGCATTGTTTAACTGCACAGGAGGCCATTCTCAAATGCAACTTAACTGTAGAGGAAATAAAGGCTGTGGGTGTCCTGTGCAAAGTATATGAAACAAAGAAAAGTAGCTCATATTCCAGCTCCTTATCAATATTTTGCTATCAGTAAAAGATTGTATTTTTGAAATTCTAACAGAACGTCTTTTACTGAATTGCAGTGGTCTATTGCAAAATTCAGTAATGATAAAAAGATGGAAAACTGAACCCCAATCCGAGAGAAGCCTATTATTAATAAGAACATATACTTACTGGTGGGAAGTCAAAGTCTATCTGGCTTGATAAGTTTAATATATAATCGATTCGAAACTGATTCTCTGGATTTGCTAGCTCAACTGGAGGTGCCAGATTTCCCATTGCTGTCACTATTGTCTGTAGGGAAAGGGAAGAGAAAAATATTAGTAGAAGGAGATGAATTAAAGTATTAGCTCAAAGAAAACACAAGCTTGTAGACTTACCTCTATAGCTTCTTTAATATTGTTCTTAATATCCTGAATTTTCATTTTTTTCTCCCTGTAACCAAGAAAATAAAAAATTATGTTTCCAGATTTGAACAGATACTTTTGAAAGGCAAAATGAAGGTCAGATACTTTCTTGTAAAGAGAAATATTCTATGGAACATCTACTCAGGTGTAGCTAAGCAGACCCAACCACCTTATTTAACTTGAAGGGCTAAGGGAAGTAATGAGTTTTTATTTCAAATACATATTGATCTTTTACACAATAAACCGATAACAGTTTGAGAAAATTGTATAATTGTATACAAGAAGTCATTTGCACTTCACCGGGTAACAAAAAGTAAAGGGGCAAAAGGATACAAATGCCACTTCCTTTGACATTCTTTTCCTAGTTGCCTAACTGATAGAATTAACCTTAAAATCTTTAAATGACTTCAGTTTCACATTTTTAATGTGTAAGAGAGCCATTTTTTCAATTGTTTTCCTTAAAAGCATCACAAACAGAATATGAAGACGATAGCAATATATTGATTAAAGTAGGTTAAGCATTTTATCTCGGTTCATTTTTTACAGAATGTACATAATTTTTGCAGAATTCCAATATGAGAGAAAGAAAAATATACAGATCTTCTATTCTTAAGGATGGGTGAAAATTTTTAATTCATCAAAATGTGAATGTCGGGGAAAGCAAAACTGTCAGATCTGCCCAAATCTTGTGAAGTGATACTAAATGAAAGAGATAAAATACAGTGGTGCCTCGTTAGACAGTTACCCTGCATGACAGTTTTTTCGCTAGACATTGACTTTTTGCGATCGCTATAGCGATTCGCAAAACAGTGATTCCTATGGGGGAATTTTGCTAGACAATGTTTGGTCCCTGCTTGGCAAACCGATTTTCGCTAGACAACAATTTTGACAGCTCTCTCTGCGCTCGCAAAATGGGTGTTTTCGGGACGTAAGCTTCGGTTTCAATGCATTCCAATGGGGAAATGCTTTTCGCTAGACGATGATTTTGCTAAACAGCAATTTCAGTGGAACGGATTATCATTGTCTAGCGAGGCACCACTCTACCATTCTTCTTTTAGTTAGTTTTTTAAAGATTACTACTGGTTGGGTCAATATAAAATTTTGGGCTAGTGCCCTGGTGTGAGGACTATAGAGTATGATGACATACTGGCACAGTACTCTGTGAGATCTCCTACTTGCTGCTACACCACTGCAGCTAGGAGGAGTTGCATTTGCACAAAAGGGTACCGTACAAGCTCAAGAATATCACCTCCTCACACAGCAGATGATAGTGTGCACAGAATGAGCAAAGTGGCCACGTTTTTAAAATCTAAAAAACTGCATATAACTGTATATAATGTGCAGAAAAATACTTCAGATCTTTGTATGGGAGAATAAAAGAAAATATTTTCTGCTCCCAGTGCCCTTCAGGGATGTTTGGGGTTGTAATGAAAATGTTACTTTTCAATTAACACTGAAATATAGCTAACTAAAATGTTAGGAGTAACTCTACTTGTCATTTATTACACAGGGCAAAGAAATTATCCTCAGAACATCAACATGCCTTTGTAAGCTGCAGTTACTGCTGTTAGTGCTTGTAGAAAGTGCTGTTGGGTGTGCAAAGCTTTTGCCCCCTCCCCAAAATAATTTTGTTAGGTTCTAGAGGATTTCAGCAAGAAATTATAAATTTTAGTTGAAGAACTACAGTTTAATTTGTTTCTAGTTCAAAGATTATGGAAACCCAGCTGCAGAATGTTTCAATACACACCTTCATTATGAAGAACAGGGTGCGTATCAAAGAGGTAGTAGGACAAAATGGGTGAGAACAGCAGCTTTAAAATACAAGATGTTCAAATCCAAGAAGTGCATGTCACAACAACTAAGAGTTCTAGAAGGCCAATAGTGATTCTTAAATATAACACCATATGCCATCAGCTACCACCCAGCAGACATTTTGTGCAGAAGTATATTTAACTGGCAGTGTCCTGTTGTTTATTTTTAAGGAATATTATACATCCTTCACATATTGTTTTAAAAAGTGTAAGTCATTCTGTATATAGTCACACAAATACCCTGGGGTTCTTGGTGTTTTTTTTTAAACATATGTATGTCTTTTGACTTCAAGGATAACTTCCTCATTAAGACCTATTAGGGACAGTCCAAGTCACTCATGTGATATTTAAATGACAAAGTATTTCCAAGAGGTGCAAAATTTAGGGTTCTATCAGGTAAACATCATTGTCTTTACTACCAGAGGACTCATGACCCTATTTCTGTCTGTGTTACCATGGCCCTATGGTATGTTCAGTAAACAAAGAGTCTTATTACAGCAATGAACATATGTGAATTTGTGTTTTGTAATGTTTACTAGGTGTACATTTTCCATGACAATTGTGCCCTAGATTTCCTACCAACAGAGGCACGTCAGGAGTTTGACTAATATCTGACTCTCAAGTGCAATTTAGGCATAGTTCAAGGACTTACAAAATGTAATAAATGCACTGCTTTATAGAAGTAGTAAGCATTAAACTAATTTCAGTCTGCTGACTTTGGTAGTGTATTACAGTGCAACAGTTCATATTTCTAATGCTAAATGCAGTTACTTTTAGACATTTCTACAGTAACTCCTGTTCAAAAAATTTAAAGATTCTAAACATTTTATCCTAACGATATTTCTAAGTCGAGGGAAATATAAATATTTTATACAATTTTTATAATCTGAACATCTCAGCAATCTCTTACCGTTTGATTGTATACGAAATATTCTGAGGCTGCATAGAAACACACAGTTTCTGCTGTTTGCCCACCACAGATGTGCACTCACAAATTCAGGAAAAGCCTCTCTTTATATTTGAAGGCAAAGTGACCTTGTGTGGTGTTCAGCAGCCGGATCTCATCACAATTAGGAATCTGTCTCCCTAAACTCATAAGCATGCTGTATGTTGTCTTGTTTCATTTTTTTTTTTTTTTTTGCAGAACAACTTGAATAGACAAACATGCATAGTTTCGTCAATAAATCAAAAACAGAACAGACAGCTGAACAGGACCAGGAAGGAGGCAACTGGAAACGGAACACTAGATATGAAGTGGATAAGCTATTACTGAAGAGTTACTGGGGTAGATTGGGAAGAACAGGACTGATCCTGCATCCTACTCCAGTGGGTATATATGTACAGACATGTTTTATTTCCTTTCAACATTAGTCAAAAGAGCAAGATATGCAAATTAGGAATTAAAGTCATCTACTTATTTCTATCCTTTTCTCAAGGGAAACAATGAGTGCTGCTTTAATTCATCTTCACCGCTTTCCAAATACCCAATCACCACACTACACAAAGGTCCTGATTATTATGAACACTCCTCTCAATAATGTATGTGTTCTCATTATGTTTTTGTGATGTACCCCATAATTGCAATGTCTGGTCATAAAACCTTCAATGAATTAAATAAAATTTGTCTAAGTAAATGAAAAACCAATCTGATCACTTCCTCAAATCTAATTATCTTCATTATACTTACCAACTATTGGAATTTCAACTATATCCAGCAGAAATTCACATTTCTGGTCTGCCTAATATCTAAACCTTACTTTTAGTAACACTATCAGCCAGGGGCATTCACTGATTTATTTTTGCCTGATGACTGATTAGACTGAATCAAGACAGAGTACTGGAGAAAGGAGCAATACTGAAAAGAACAAGAAAAGACTACGTGTCCCAGTATTCAATTTCCTGCATCCCCATAGGTAACAACACAGAAGTGTAACAGGAACATTATAAAAACATAAAAAGTATGTAAGATGTACAGTGTGACAAACAAATGATATCGCTCTTAACTGTAACTTAACATAGCTAGTTAACTAGACTGCACATTTTTAAAGGAAATATACAAACTAGTGTCAATAGGAACGCTGAGCTAAACAAATTATATAAGTAGTAAGCATTAAACTAATTTCTAATCAATTTAAATTACTTACAAGCAGCACGCTTTTTGCTTTGCTTTTTTATTAGTTTAAATACACACACACACACACACACACACACACACACACACACACATTGCTGCTAGTTAGTAGGTTACAACTTGTATCCCACAATGTACAGTACACCCAACTAACATGACCAGTGCATGCTATAAGGGATACATGCAGTAACTTATTCACTACCAGCAATTTGCTACTGCAATTTATGGCACCGTACTTGCACCAGCATAACTAACCAGCAGGAGTCTGACCCTTGATTTAAATCATTACATTAACCAGCACCAAACAGTTCTCAATGCTATTATGGATTAGTATCTAAAGATATCTTTTAATAGCCTCAGGGAATGTGTGGAAGATTGCTAGCATGAAGAGAAAACCTAGGAAAATATCCCCATTTGCCCCAAACGTCTCAGCTCAGATAAGGAGAAAGCCACAGTATAGCATCAAGACTCGACTTTTGCCCCCACATCAATAGAAGACCTTTCTGCTTACCTAGGCACTTTCTGGAGTACTTTCCTGAGCATAATTAATTGTTATGCAATTGTTATGCTATTGTTATCCTTTGTTTTCAATTAATTCTTTTTAAGGATTTTTATTATTTTTATACTATTTTATTCTCTTAACTGCTTATTTTACCTATACTATACTCCCAAACTGAAGAGACCCTTGTCCAGGAGGCCGAGGCGAAGAGACAGTCCCCAAAGCAGCAAAATCAGGGAGCTGGACAGGGGACAGTCTGTATTTGTCTTCAGAAGTTTTCAGAAGAGGAGGGACTCACAACCCCCTCCCCAGTTCCCTTCTGTACACACTCCATTCCCTCCCTCAATTCTACCCCTAAGCCTAGTTCTCTTCGCTTACTCTTGTGGAGCCCCTGGACTGCATGTACTCCTTCTCTTGTGCCAGCTATGGTTCCTCTTGAGTTCTGGTGGCTGGATCGCTCGGGCAGGGAATTGGAATGAAGAGGAGCAGGAGGGTCATACTTCAAAAAAGTTGGGAAACACTGATCTATAATGTATAACTTTGTTTATTCATTAAAAATATTGCATTTGGGCATATGAAATTTAGAA